ATTTGGCCCTCATAATAGCTTATAAGGTCATTAGATAATGCTGCATTTTATAGGAAAAGAAACGAGGTTAAGAGAGGTTGAGTAACTGAAGGTCAGACAGATGGTAAATAGAATAACAAAACTAGAATATAGATTTTCTCACTCCCAGTCATTTAGTTTTTCTGATATATCAGCTTGGTTCTTTGCAAATTTGGGACACTAATTCTAACTCAGTCTTTGGGAAGAGGAGAAACCAATGTGATATGATCCCAAATATAAGGGAATTCCCCACTTTTCTGATGAGACTATTAAGAAGAAAAGCTTTTTGCCAATTATATAAACTTTGAAGAATGTAACAAAAATAGTCCGGGCGCGGTGGCTCACACCTGTAATCTCAGCACTTTCAGAGGCTGAGCTGGGTGGATCCCCTGAGGTCGGGCATTCGAGACCAGCTTGGCCAACCAATATGGTGAAACCCCATGTCTACTAGAAATACAAAAAAAATTAGCTGGGTGTGGTGGTGGTGCCTGTAATGCCAGCTACTTGGGAGGCTGAGGCAGGAGAATCGCTTGAACCTAGGAGGCGGAAGTTGCAGTGAGCCAAGATCTTGCCATTGTACTCCAGCCTGGGCAATAAGAGCAAAACTCTGTCTTTTAAAAAAGAAAAAAAACGAAAAATAAAACCAAAAAACTCCTGTCTTCGGTCCGTGCCTCCAAGATGACAAAGAAAAGAAGGAACAACGGTCATGCCAAAACGGGCCGCGGCCACATGCGGCCTATTCGCTGCACTAACTGTGCTCGATGTGTGCCCAAGGACAAGGCCATTAAGAAATTCGTCATTCAAAACATAGTCCCACAGCAGCAGTCAGGGACATTTCTGAAGCGAGCATCTTCGATGCCTATGTGCTTCCCAAGCTGTATGTGAAGCTACATTACTGTGTGAGTTGTGCAATTCACAGCAAAGTAGTCAGGAATCAATCTCGTGAAGCTCGCAAGAACCAAACACCCCCTCCCCAATTTAGACCTACAGATTGCTGCCCCATGTCCCCCACCAAAGCCCATGTAGGGAGCTGAGTCCTTAAAGACTGAAGACAGACTATTCTCTGGAGAAAAATAAAATGGAAATTGTACTTTAAAAAAATATCAAAAATAGTCCAATATGTTCTTAAAATAGTTAATAATTTACATATATGTTTTAAATTACATAAATCTTAATTTAGAAATAATTTTTTCCATTTTTATATTTATAAAGCAATTTTGTCTAGATTCTTTATGAACATCATATCACTTGGGCCACTTTTTGAATCATCAGTTTGCTATTTAGCAGTTTTGAATCCATGTGTGATATGTTGGCAGTTTGGGAAATTTTATCCCAAGTCATAAAAACCCATTTATATAATATTAGGACAGTTACTTTTAAAAGGAATATTTATAACTGATATTCAACACATGAAATTGTGAGTTCTGGCTAGGCGTGGTGACTCATACTTGTAATTCCAGCACTTCGGGAGGCCAGGGTGGGCTGATCACTTGAGTCCAGGAGTTCAAGACCAGCCTGGGCAACATGGTGAAACCCCACCTCTACTGAAAATACAAAAATTTGCCAAGCGTAGTGGCACCTGCCCATGGTCCCAGCTCCTTTCAAGGGGCTGAGGCAGGAGGATTGTTCAAGCCCAGAAGTTGAGGCTACGTGAGCCACGATCGCACCATTGCAGTCCAGCCTGTGTGACAAAGTGAGACCCTGTCTCCAAAAAAATAAAAAGAAATTGTGAATTCTGATCCTCAGGATAATTACTAAATCCAGTGACCTTTCGTTGCTACCACATGCAAAACTAGCATAGTTTGAAGATAAGGTGTATCCCAGACAACTCTTTTAGTTCAATATAGTCATTGAGGGAGCACCTTTAATATGACAGACTGTGGAAGGATTCAAAACTACATAACTCTTTTTAAAAAATATATAAGTATTCCTTCCATAAAAATATATTACTATGATAGCATATTTTCACACCTAAAAATTAGCATTAATTTTTTAGTATTATCAATTATTCAATCACTGTTCAAATTTGATTTGTACATTGTGATGGACTGACATGTCTAAGTCTCTTTTAATGTGTGTTTGTATTTTTAGTAGGGATGGGGTTTCTCCATGTTGGTCAGGCTGGTCTCGAACTCCTGGCCACCGGTGATCCACCCGCCTCTGCCTCCCAAAGTGCTGGGATTATAGGTGTGAGCCACTGTGCGTGGCCCAAGACTACTTTTTAAAAACTGTTTAGGGCCTATGCCCTAAAAAGGGCATAAGCACGTTGGCTTATGCCTGTAATCCCAGCACTTTGGGAGGCTGAGGCGGGTGGATCACTTTGACCTTAGGTGATCGAACTTAGGAGTACTAAGTTCTAAAAATACAAAATTAACTGGGTATGGTGGCATGCACCTGTAATCCCAGCTACTTGGGAGGCTGAGGCAGGAGAATTCCTTGAATCTGGGAGGTGGAGGTTGCCGTGAGCTACGATCACGCCATTGCACTCCAGCCTGGGCAAAAAGAGTGAAACTCCATCTTAAAAGGAAGTTAAAATAAGAAAAAAAAATTAACTGGGCGTAGTGGCAGGCGCCTGTAATTCCAGCTATTCGGGACCACTTGCTGTTGAGAAATAAGCATGATGGTGATTGTCTCCCACATACCCTAATTACCTATTTTTAGTGGATAAGGATGTTATGTTCTCCTATAATATAAAACTATTGATGTATTGAAACTATAAGAATATTAGGCCGGGCACAGTGGCTCAAGCCCGTAATCCCAGCACTTTGGGAGGCTGAGACGAGCAGATCATGAGGTCAGGAGATTGAGACCATCCTGGCTAACACGGTGAAACCCCGTCTCTACTAAAAAATACAAAAAAAAAAAAAAACTAGCTGGGCGAGGTAGCGGGTGCCTGTAGTCCCAGCTACTCGGGAGGCTGAGTCAGGAGAATGGCGTAAACCCGGGAGGCGGAGCTTGCAGTGAGCTGAGATCTGGCCACTGCACTCCGGCCTGGGCGACAGAGCGAGACTCCGTCTCAAAAAAAAAAAAAAAAGAAAGAAACTATAAGAATATTTATTTAGGCCGGGCGCGGTGGCTCAAGCCTGTAATCCCAGCACTTTGGGAGGCCGAGGCGGGTGGATCACGAGGTCAGGAGATCGAGACTATCCTGGCTAACATGGTGAAACCCCGTCTCTACTAAAAATACAAAAAACTAGCCGGGCGTGGTGGCGGGTGCCTGTAGTCTCAGCTACTTGGGAGGCTGAGGCGGGAGAATGGTGTGAACCCGGGAGGCGGAGCTTGCAGTGAGCCGAGATCACGCCACTGCACTCCAGCCTGGGAGACACAGCGAGACTCCGTCTCAAAAAAAAAAAAAAAAAAGAATATTTATTTAAATTGGCTAACTTGTTTTTCTTCAAGCTACTCACCTGTAGAGCTTTCTATAAAGCTAAGAAGCCTGACCAGTAGGATTTTGATATTTCAGAGGTTATGTCCTAGCATTGAGGCTTCCTAAATGTTTTAATAGTGTTTATTACTTGTGCTTGTGAATGAGCTCTTGGGTTCCTGCACTGAGGAGACTGGACTTAATTTTCTTACTCCCCTGCTCATGGCATTTGAGGTCTCCGCTGCTTCCTTTGGTACTTTATTTGTTTTGTTTAGTGAAATGCCAGATGCTAAAATAGGGGGCTATTAGGTCTTGATCATTGCCTAATATCAAAACCTATGTGAAACATTGAGCCATTTAGATTTTTATTTTGCAGATTGTTTGGATATCTGGGAGTAAGACAGTGTGAATGGGAAAGTTAGTCAAGGAGCAGAAGATAAATTTAGACTCAGTAGCTTGGGTTCATATTCTAGATAAAAATAATAAATGTAAGGGGCTTCTTATGTCTTTAATATTTTTAATCTGCCTGATCACACTTCAGCATGGGCTTGGAAATATCGTGCTCTTTTTAGAAAAAGTTTTAAGCTGTTCTTTGTGGGTTTGCCAAAGCAGAGAGCAACCCAGTTCTGAGTCACAGGAGACTCATTAATATATGTATGGTCTTGGAAAAAGGTCATTTCATTACACAGTTTTTCTATAGGTATGTTATTGAAAAACAGGAATAATAGCGTTAGTTTCCTCTACCTTAGCTTTGTCTTATAAATTACGTATTACAATGAAAAGAACAATGGAGTAAAAGTTTGAAACTGAGCATTCTTTTTTTTTTTTTTTTTAAAGACAGAGTATTGCTCTGTTGCCCAGGCTGGAGGGCAGTGGCTCGATCTCTGCCTCCCGGGTTCAAGTAATTCTGGTGCCTCAGCCTCCTGAGTAGCTAGGATTACAGGTGCATGCTACCATGCCTGGCTCATTTTTGTATTTTTAGTAGAGATGGGGTTTTGCCATGTTGGCCAGGCTGGTCTCGAACTCCTGACCTCAAGTAATCCATCCACCTTGGCCTCCCAAAGTGCTGGGTTTACAGGTGTGAGCCAGTGTGAAAGTCAGTGTGACTCAGCTACTTGGGAGGCTGAGTCAGGAGAATGGCGTAAACCCGGGAGGCGTTTCACTGTGCCCGTGAAAGTCAGTATTCTATTGCTCGTCATGTCAGCTGGTCGTGGTAGCTCACGCCTATAATCTCAGCACTTTGGGAGGCCAAGGCAGGAGGATTGCTTGAATCTAAGAGTTCAAGACCACCCTGGGAAACATAGTGGTCTCTACTAAACTTTTTTAGTAGACACTGTCTCTACTAAAAGCTTTTTAAAAATTAACGAGGCTTGGTGGCACGCACTTGTAGTCCTAGCTACTCAGGAGTTCTTGAGCCCAGTAGTTTGAGATTGCAGTGAGCTGTGATCTTGCCATTGCACTCCGGCATGGGTGACAGAGTGAGACTCTGTCTTAAAAATAATACTACTACTAGTTCTGTCACTAAATAAATATGTCATTTTATGGAACATTTCCTGGGATGTTGAGAAAACAGATGTGAAGAAATAATAGTACTTATTTATGCATATGTTCCTGGCAGGTGCTGTTGGCAGCAGCGGTCTGCACAAAAGCAGGAAAGGCTATTGTCTCTCGACAGTTTGTGGAAATGACCCGAACTCGGATTGAGGGCTTATTAGCAGCTTTTCCAAAGCTCATGAACACTGGAAAACAACATACGTTTGTTGAAACAGAGAGTGTAAGATATGTCTACCAGCCTATGGAGAAACTCTATATGGTACTGATCACTACCAAAAACAGCAACATTTTAGAAGATTTGGAGACCCTAAGGCTCTTCTCAAGAGTGGTAAGAGTACTGCTATAATACTGGGTTCCACTTTTTTTTTTACATTTTGTGCGAAACTAGTTTTTCCTCCAAAGCAGCTGATGCTCACCAGTTTGCAGGCTCCTGCTCCCCACCCCAGCGACTTACTGCTGCAGCTCCTTGTTTATTCAGCAGACATTTATTGGGTGTCCTCTTAGAATATAGGTGTCCCAAAAGAATACGGGAACTACTCTTTCATTTCCCAGTTCTTAAGCAGTTGTTCTAATCTGCCGTTCTAGTTCTGATACTTGTTTGGTTGTGCTTTTTAGATAATGTTTTTTAGGTAAGACTTACTGATCCAAACACACACACACACACACACACACACACACACACTTCTCTTTAAGACTTTATGCCAAAGTCTTGCTTAAAATGAAGACTAAGGCCGGGCACGGTGGCTCACGCCTGTAATCCCAGCACTTTGGGAGGCCAAGGCAGGCGGATCACAAGGTCAGGAGATCGAGACCCTCCTGTCTAATACGGTGAAACCCCGTCTCTACTAAAAAATACAAAAAAAATTAGCCAGGCGTGGTGGCAGGCACGTGTAGTCCCAGCTACTCGGGAGGCTGAGGCAAGAGAATGGTATGAACCCAGGGAACAGAGGTTGCAGTGAGCCAAGATCATACCACTGCACTTCAGCCTGGGCAACAGAGCAAAACTCTGTCTCAAAAAAAAAAAGACTAAGGCCAGGTGCGGTAGCATGTGCCTGTAGTCCAAGCTACTCAAGAGGCTGAGGCAGAAGGATTGCTTGAGGCCAGGAGTTCAAGTGAATAGGCATTATACTTCAGTGTGGGCAACACAGCAAGACCCCAATTCCTTTTTTTTTTTTTTTTTGAGACAGAATCTCGCTTTTGCCCAGGCTGGAGTGCAGTGGCACAATCTCGGCTCACTGCAACCTCCGCCTCCCAGGTTCAAGCAATTCTCTGGCCTCAGCTTCCTGAGTAGGTGAAATTACGGATGTGCACCACCATGCCTGTCTAATTTTTGTATTTTTAGTAGAGACAGGGTTTCACCATGTTGGCCAGGCTAGTGTTGAACTCCTGACCTTGGGTGATCTGCCTTTCTTGGCCTCCCAAAGTGCTGGGATTACAGGCATGAGCCACTGTACCCGGCTGTAAGAATCAGGGTCTTGGGCGCAGTGGCTCACGCCTATAATTCCAGCACTTTGGGAGGCCGAGATGGGTGGATCACCTGAGGTCAGAAGTTTGAGACCAGCCTGACCAACATGGTGAAACCTCGTCTCTACTAAAAATACAAAAAAATTAGCTGGGTGTGGTGGTGGGCACCTGAAATCCTACTACTCAGCAAAAAATACAAAAAAATTAGCTGGGTGTGGTGGTGGGCACCTGAAATCCTATTACTCAGCAGACTGAGGCACAAGAATTGCTTGAACCCGGGAGGCGGGGGTTGCAGTGAGCCAAGATCGTGCCACTGCACTCCAGCCTGGGCAACAGAGTGAGACTTTGTCTTAAAAAAAAAAAAAATTAAGGTCTTAGGCTGGGTCCAGTGGCTCACACCTGTAATCCCAGCACTTTGGGAGGCCAAGGCAAGCAGATCACCTGAGGTCAGGAGTTCAACACTAGCCGAGCCAACATGGTGAAACCCTGTCTCTACTAAAAATACAAAGATTAGCTGGGCGTAGTGGCATACACTTGTAGTCCCAGCTACTCCGGAGGCTGAGGCAGGAGAATGGCTTGAACCTGGGAGATGGAGGTTGCAGTGAGCCGAGATGGCGCCACTGCACTCCAGCCTGGGCAGCAGAGTGAGGCTCCATCTCAAAAAATAAAATAAAGACTAGAAGTAGCTAAGGGATTTGGGTTATTGAAATTTATGTAATTTAAAGGATAAGACTTGGAAATATAGCTGCTGATAAATTCTAAATCTTTCTTTTTTATTGGTGTCCACGATTAGATCCCTGAATATTGCCGAGCCTTAGAAGAGAATGAAATATCTGAGCACTGTTTTGATTTGATTTTTGCTTTTGATGAAATTGTTGCCCTGGGATACCGGGAGAATGTTAACTTGGCACAGATCAGAACCTTCACAGAAATGGATTCTCATGAGGAGAAGGTGTTTAGAGCCGTCAGAGAGGTAAATAGGATCTTCTCTGGGACTATCTGTTTGTGTATCTTCCTCTTAGGCTTCACTAATCTGATTTTCCAATTTTTACTTGCTCATGTATAGACTGTATTCAAAGCTACATCCAGGCTGGGCACAGTGGCTCATGCCTATAATCCCAGCACTTTGGGAGGCAGAGGTGGAAGGATCACTTGAGTCCAGGAGTTCAAGACCAGCCTGGACAGCATAGTGAGACCCTGTCTCTAGAAAAAAAAAAAAAATTAGCCAGGCATAGTAGCACGTGCCTGTGGGTTCCAGCTACTTGGGAGACTGACATGGGAGCATCACTTGAGGCCAGGAAGTTGAGGCTGCAGTGAGCCGTGATCGTGTCACTTGCACTCCAGCCTCTGTCACAGAGTGAGACCCTGTCTCAAAAAAAAAAAAAAAACAACCAGTTACATTCATGTATGTCTTTTTCTGTAGACTCAAGAACGTGAAGCTAAGGCTGAGATGCGTCGTAAAGCAAAGGAATTACAACAGGCCCGAAGAGATGCAGAGAGACAGGGCAAAAAAGCACCAGGATTTGGCGGATTTGGCAGCTCTGCAGTATCTGGAGGCAGCACAGCTGCCATGATCACAGAAACCATCATTGAAAGTGATAAACCAAAAGTGGCACCTGCACCAGCCAGGTATAATCCATTGTACTTTAGAATGCCAGATGACGGGTGTATATGTGTCTATCTTTGAAGTGATAATCTGATTTCTTGGAAAGCTGTAAATAATGAAGGACTTGATGAAGTAAGATATGATGTTAAATTTGGCCACATAAAATGTGAGGATAAAGAAGAAATCTGAATGTGATGTTTTTCCTTTTGTATAAAAGAGAGTTATAAATTATGTCATGACCTCAATTTCCTATGAGAGTTGCCTTATTGTGGGAGAGAAAGGGATATTTAATGCTTTATGGAATGTAGATTTTTAATCTTGATGTTCAAAGATTGATTTTAGGGGTAATCTGTGAATTACGTGAAATTATATGCAAAATTTTGTGCACAGGTATGTTTCTCTGGATGGAAGATACAAAGTTTTCATCAGATCATGTGTGCTTGTAAAAATATACCTTTGGGTAATGAATTTCAAATTTTTCCACTTAGGCCTTCAGGCCCCAGCAAGGCTTTGAAACTTGGAGCCAAAGGAAAGGAAGTAGATAACTTTGTGGACAAATTGAAATCTGAAGGTGAAACCATCATGTCCTCCAGTATGGGCAAGCGTACTTCTGAAGCTACCAAAGTGCATGCTCCACCTATTAATATGGAAAGGTAAGTAGGAACTTTGAGTAAGAATTCAAGCTTTGAATACAGTCCACATAATTTTTAAAAAATCTTATTTCAGTGTGCTATGAATTCTTTTTCTGTCTTGTAATCTTTCCTGATTTAAAAGATTTATTCAGAGCATATTCTATGTATTAACATAAGGTCGTTTTTGGTTTTGTTTTGTTTTATTTTTTTGAGACAGAGTCTTACTATGTTGTCTAGGCTGGCCTCCAACTCCTGAGCTCAGTTAATCTTCCTGCCTCAGCTTCCCAAGTAACTGGGATACAGGCATGCGTTGCTGCACCTGATCTTTTTTTTTCCTTAAACCCTGATTGGTGGGCCCTCAGCCACCTATTTTCTATGAAGTTTAGAACTTTCCTTTTACAGCTAAATTAAAGTTACTCATAGTCACACCTAGTGTGTAGCTTATCTCTTAGAATGGACCTGAATTAGGGGACTAGAGCTATAGTGACCCCAGACTGTATTTTGGCATGACTTTTTATAATTAAAAACTCTTAAGTAGAGCTAATCTTTAATCCAAAACTTGTAGATATCTTTAATAGCAAATTAATATATTTTGCATTTTTATTTTATTTATTTATTTTTTTGAGATGGAGTTTCACTCTGTCACCCAGGCTGGAGTGCAGTGGTGCAATCTCGGCTTGCTGCAAGCTCTGCCTCCCAGGCTCAAGTGATTCTCCCACCTCAGCCTCCCAAGTAGCTGGGACTGCAGGCATGCACCACCATGCTGGGCTAATTTTTGTATTTTGGTAGAGATGGGGTTTCGCCTTGTTGCCCAGGCTGGTCTTGAACTCCTGGACTCAAGCAATCTGCCTGCCTCAGCCTCACAAAGTGCTGGGATTACAGGCCTGAGCCACCATGCCCAGCCATCTTTTGCAGTTCAAATATTTGAAGCTGGTATGGAATATTTTGATTCATCTCTATCTCAGGACTGTGGTACTGGCTGGTGACATTTTTAAGTGGTAGTTATCAAGTTCACATATTCATGACTCAGATTTCTCGTCTTGAAGTCAGACCTTCTACTGTTGCTGATGGTTTTGAGGTCAAGTGAAAGATAATACCAGGAGGATACCTCTATCAGGTGTGCATAAAAGAGGAGTATTTACTCTTTTTCTTTCTTGCCTTTTTTTTTTTTTTTGGAGACAGAGTCTTTCTCTGTCTCTCAGACTGAAGTGCAATGGCACGATCTTGACTTACTGCAACCTCTACCTCCTGGGGTCAAGCAATTCTCCTGCCTCAGCCTCCCAAGTGGCTGGGATTACAGGGGCACACCATCACGCCTGGCTAATTTTCTTATTTTTAGTAGAGATGGGGTTTTGCCGTGTTGGCTAGGCTGGTCTCGAACTCCTGACCTCAAGTGATCCGCCTGCCTCCACCTCCCAAAAGTGCTCGGATTATAGTCATGAGCCACCACGCTCAGCCAAGTATTTACTCTTTATATGCCCTGTTCTGTATGAAATGAACAGGGTTACACTGGGATAAATTTCTTGATTCACTAAAGCCGCTGTGCTCTTCCTAGTGGTTGCTTTGAGTGAGACAGGCTTCACACTTTTAAAAAGATGTTCCTGAGTGCAGTGGCCCACACCTGTAATCCTAGCACTTTGGGAGGCTGAGGTGGGCAGATTGCCTGAGCCCAGGAGTTCATGAGACTGCCCTGGGCATCATGGTGAAAACCCGTCTCCACTAAAATACAAAAAATTAACCCCTTCTCCATGAAAATACCAAAAATTAGGTGGGTGTGGTGGCGCATGCCTGTAGTCCCAGCTACTCAGGAGGCTGAGGCAAGAGAATTGCTTGAACCTGGGAAGCAGAGGTTGCAGTGAGCCAAGTGACTGCACTCCAGCCTGGGTGACAGAGTGAGACTCTGTCTCCAAAAAAAAAAAAAAAAAAAAAGATGTTGGAGATCATCACATATTACAGAGAATTTGAGACACTCTTTTTTCTAAATGATAAAATGCCTCTTGAGCACAGAGCAAACTTTTTTGAAGGTAAATGGTGCCATGCATTGTCTTAAGATACACTCCTTTATGATCTTGACTCTGATGCCTTTGTTTCTAGGAAGACCTAAGAGGTTGGAACAGGGAACAGGGTAGGATAACAAAATATTCTTTGTAGCCTCTGTAGTTCATCCAACCAAACATATTTCTATTACTGAATATGAATAGATTGTACTTAGTAATTGCCTGTAACAGCAGCACTTTTTAATCTTTTTAAAATTGAATTGTACTTTAATATAGTATAAAATTCAAAAGTTGTTAACGGTCAGAAGTCTTTCTCTCACACAGCCATGCCAGTTTCTCATTTTGGAGACAACTAGTGTTAACAGAGTTTTTTTTGTATCCTTCTGAGGGGGATGGTCTATGATATATAGATTAATAAAAAACGTATATACAGTGTGTCTATTTTTCCCCCTTTTATGCAAAGCAGTAAAACTAGACACATCTTCCAGTTGCATTTTTCACTTAATTATTTTGGAGATAAGAATTTCTTTATTTGAAACTAGGGTAAATGCAATACCTTACCTAGACTGGATCCTCTACTACTGTAGTGTAGAAAAAACAACTCAAACTGTTTCTTTTTTTCTATTTTCTCATTCAACAGCAACAATCAACACAGAAGACTTCTGTTATCCAGTGTGTTTAGGTTTTTCTGCACACATCAAGCAGTCACACCCAGCTGGTGTCCTCCCATTCAGTTCAATTCTGATGCTATCTACCTGGGAATAGCCTCAGATTCTACAGGTTGAGAGTTCAGTCCCCCAAGACTGATTCTTCCTTCCCACCAGTCATAAGTCCAGGCTTTCAGAACTTCTTACTGACCTCAAGTTTGGCCTCCCACGACCCCGCCTTTGGGTTCAATTAATTTGCTAGAGCACCCCACAGAACTCAGGGAAACTTACTTGACATTTATCAGTTTGTTACAGAGGATATTTTAAAGGACACAAATAAGCAGCCAGATGAAGAGATATACATAGGGCAAGGTCTGGGAGGGTCTTGGGTACAGGAGCTTCTGTCCCCAGGGAGCAGGGGTACGCCACTCTCTTGGAAAATGGATGAGACCTTGTTCATCTTCCTGTAAGCCTCCATGTGTTCAGCCGTCCAGAAGCTTCCCAGACCCTGTCCTCTTGAGCCTTTTATGGAGACTTCATTGGATAGGCATGATTGACAGGTGTGCAGAAATGTGATTGGACAAAGGGTATGACCTAATACTGATAGGCTGAGTGGGGAAACCCAGCAAGGCCTGTCCAGATTCTTAGCCTCTCTGTGCAACATTAATCTTCCTCCAGGATATGGTGCAGGACCCTTTTTGGAGATTAGAGTCCTGCCTTGGGCGGGTGAAAGGAGGGCAGGAGAAGGTCAAAGAGAGATTCTGTTTTCTGAGGGCTGCTCCTGAGGCCTAAAGTGCCCCAACATTATGTATAATAAGGGATATGGGAGTTATGAGCCACGAACCATGGATGAAAACCAGTACATATGTATATCATAATATCACAACTACTATTAAAAATATTATTAGGTCAACTGATGAAATTGACATATGATTGATAGATTGGATACAATTATTATATCAGTGTTAGCCTGGCATGATGGCATATGGCTATAGTCCTTGCTACTCAGGAGGCTGAGATAGGAGGATTGCTTGAGACCAGGAGTTCAAGGTTATAGTGAACTGTGATTGTGCCTCTGAATAGCCACTGCACTCCAGCCTGGGCAACATAGCAAGATCTATCTCTTAAACAACAACAGGCTGGGGGCGGTGGCTCACATCTGTAATCCCAGCACTTTGGGAGGCCCAGGCGGGCAGATCACCTGAGGTCAGGAGTTCAAGACCAGCCTGGCCAATATGGTAAAACCCTGACTCTACTAAAAATACAAAATTGAACCGGGTGTGGTGGCAGGCGCCTGAAATCCCAGCTATGCAGGAGACTGAGACAGGAGAATCACTTGAACCCGGGAGGCAGAGGGTGCAGTGAGCCGAGATTGCACCATTGCACTCCAGCCGTGCAACAAGAGTGAAACTCCATCTCAAAACAACAACAAAAAGCTAAAAAAAAAAGTATCAGTGTAAATTTGTGTAGTTAATAATGGTACTGTGATTGATTATGTAACAGAATATCCCTAATCTTATAAAAATAAGCACTGAAGTATTTAGGGGCAAAGTGCTGTGATGTATATAATCTGCTTCTTAATGGTTCAGGGGAAAAAAATCAAATGTATAACATACATATATAATGTTTAGAGAGAGAGACACACATATGCAAATTATAAAACAAATGGGGTAAATGTTAACAATAGGTGAATCAGGAAAAGGGTATATATGTCTTCCTTGTATAATTTTAATTTTTTTAAGCTTGAAAATATTTTCAAATAGAACATTTTTTCAGTTGTTTTCTCACCATTGCCTACTATTCATTTGGGTGAATATTCCTTTATTTTTTATTTTCTATTTTTTTTGAGGTGGAGTCTTGCTCTGTTGCCCAGGTTGGAGTGCAGTGTCGTGATCTCAGCTCACTGCAAGCTCCACCTCCTGAGTTCACGTCATTCTCTTGCCTCAGCTTCCTGAGTTGCTGGGACTACAGGTGCCCGTCACCACACCCGGCTAATTTTGTTTTTGTATTTTTAGTAGAGATGGGGTTTCACCGTGTTAGCCAGGATGGTCTCGATCTCCTGACCTCATGATCCGCCCACCTCGGCCTCCCAAAGTGCTGGGATTACAGGTGTGTGCCACTGCGCCCGTGGATATGCCTTTATTTAAGCAGCCCCCAGTGGCAGACATTCGTTTCTAAACTTTTGCCATTAAAAACAATCCTTCAGTGAATAACTTAGCAGATTGTTTTGCACAGATGAGAATTTGTCTGTTGAATTGCTGTATCAAAGGGTATCGTCTTTTAAATGTTTATAGCTATAGCAGTAGCACCTTTAAAAAAACATTGTTGATGGCTAATCATTAGACCTTGGAGAAAGGGATTTCTGGTTTCTACCTTTCTTTTTTCTTTTGTTTTGTTTTGTTTTTGAGATGGAGTTTCACTCTTGTTGCCCAGGCTGGAGTGCAATGGGACAATCTCGGCTCACCGCAACCCCTGCCTCCTGGTTCAAGGATTCTCCTGCCTCAGCCTCCCAAGTAGCTGGGGCTACAGGCATGCACCACCACGCCTGGCTAATTTTGTGTTTTTAGTAGAGATGGGGTTTCTCCATGTTGGTCAGGCTAATCTCGAACTCCCGACCTCAGGTGATCTGCCCACCTCGGCCTCCCAAAGTGCTGGGATTATAGGCATGAGCCACTGTGCCCGGCCATGGGTTTCTACCTTTCTGAACAAATGTATTACTTTCTCTTTGTAGTGTACATATGAAGATTGAAGAAAAGATCACATTAACCTGTGGACGAGACGGAGGATTACAGAATATGGAGTTGCATGGCATGATCATGCTTAGGATCTCAGATGACAAATATGGCCGAATTCGTCTTCATGTGGAAAATGAAGATAAGAAAGGGGTGCAGCTACAGGTGTGTAGAAGCTTTTGATAGGGAGTGTTAATACTTTGTCTACCTATTATAGTCTTTGTCAACTAGAGTTCCCAATATGAACCACAGAAAATTATTTAAGTTATATAACTAGCATCACTCTAAATGCATAGGAAAGAAGTTGATTTATTGCATACAGTAGCTACCTGAGAGTGAGTAAAGCAGCTGTGTTAGGATGGCTTTTAAATATTGGAACTGAATAAAAGGTCATTTTGAAATCTAATAAATGACTTCATACTCACTAGCAAAAGGTACAAAGAGATGTTTATTTTTTGCTGTTATGAAAACAGTAAATTAATCACTTAGGATCTTGCTTGAAATATAGTTTTTAAAAAAACAAGGCTGGCCGGGCGCAGTGGCTCAAGCCTGTAATCCCAGCACTTTGGGAGGCCGAGATGGGCGAATCACGAGGTCAGGAGATCGAGACCATCCTGGCTAACACAGTGAAACCCCATCTCTACTAAAAAAAATACAAAAAACTAGCCGGGCGAGGTGGCGGGCGCCTGTAGTCCCAGCTACTCAGGAGGCTGAGGCAGGAGAATGGCGTAAACCCGGGAGGCGGAGCTTACAGTGAGCTGAGATCCGGCCACTGCACTCCAGCGTGGGCGACAGAGCCAGACTCCATCTCAAAAAAATAAATAAATAAATAAATAAATAAATAAAAATAAAAATAAAAAAACAAGACTTTAAGACAAGTGTGGTGGCTCACGCCTATAATACCAACACTTTGAGAGGCTGAGGCCAAAGGATCGCTTGAGCCCAGGAGTTCAAGAACAGCCTGAGCAATGAGGGCTGAGCAACAAGACCCTGTCTCTACAAAAACTTAAAAAATTAGCCAGGCATGGTGGCACAATGCGAAATTTACTCATTCTGCTATTAAACTACCAGTGCTTGTTTTGTTAACTGAAGGGCAGTATCTAATGATGTATTTGAAAAGTACATAAAATCCTTTCAGTATAAGTGTGTGTGTTCCAACTATTGGATAGAGATATATATAAGCCCTTCTTTATATTACAGGTGTTGTTGTCACATTTCATTTAGCTTAACATCTTGTCACAAGAACAAAGCCTTTTTAGGGAAGAGTGTTTTTGTCTCTTTCCCTCCCGTAGTCAGCACAGAATTGTCTTTTGGAAGCAGTGCTTATATTATTTGACAACATTTTTGCTGGCTTGTAAAGTGCTATCCAAAAGTGATTTCTGGTTTTTTGTTGTTGTTTTCTGAGATGGAGTCTCTCTCTGTCGCCCGGGTTGGAGTGCAGTGGTACAATCTTGGTTCACTGCAACCTCTGCCTCCTGGGTTCAAGCAGTTCTCCTGTCTCAGCCTCCTAAGTAGCTGGGATTACAGGCACCTGCCACCACGCCCAGCTAATTTTTTTTATTTTTAGTAGAGACGGGGTTTCACCACGTTGGCCAGGCTGGTCTCAAACTCTTGACCTCGTGATTCGCCCACGTCATCATCCCAAAGTGTTGGGATTATAGGCATGAGCCACCATGCCCAGCCCTTCTGGGTATTTTTGTTTTTGTTTTTGTTTTGTTTTGTTTTGTTTTTTTGACACAGAGTCTCTCTCTGTGATGCAGACTGGAGTGCAGCAGCACAGCCTTGGCTCGCTGCAGCCTCAGCCTCCTGGGCTCAAGCAGTCCTTCCCTCCTCAGCCTCCATAGTAGCTGGGACTATAGGTGTGCACCACCACACCCAGCTATTTATTTATTTATTTATGTATTTATGTATTTATGTATTTACTGAGACGGAGTTTCACTCTTCTTGCCCAGGCTGGAGTGCAATGGTGTGATCTCGGCTCATTGCAACCTCTGCCTCCCGGGTTCAAGCCATTCTTCTGCCTCAGCCTCTCAAATAGCTGGGATTACAGGCATGTGCCATCATGTCCAGCCCCAGCTAACTTTTGTATTTTTAGTAGAGATGGGGTTTTGCCATGTTGGCCAGGCTGATGTCAAACTCCTGACCTCCAATGCCCCGCCCACCTCAACCTCCCCAAAAACAATTTCTTTTAAAAAGATAAGACTATCTTAATTGGCTTGGATTTTAACAACTTTAAGTCTCTAGGCAAAATTGCAACTAGACTTTACACAGAGCTTGCCCTTTTCTGCTACTTTATATAAGGCCAAAAATGCTATTTGACCCAGGCAGCTGATCAGGGTCTTACTGGAACGTTCTGCTTGGTAAACCTGGCCCCACCATGAACCTGCTCCATGTGAAGTATTTTTGGAAAGGACTTGGTTAATGGTCTTTTAACTTTTTCAGGTGCAAACTTGTTCTATAATGGCTTTTAGAGTTGAAATTATTTTTTTAAAAAAATTACTGGTTTTTAAATATCTTTTTTTTTTTTTGAGACAGAGTCTCGCTCTGTCACCCAGGCTGGAGTGCAGTGGCCGGATCTCAGCTCACTGCAAGCTCTGCCTCCCGGGTTTACGCCATTCTCCTGCCTCAGCCTCCCAAGTAGCTGGGACTACAGGCGCCCGCCACCTTGCCCGGCTAGTTTTTTGTATTTTTTTTAGTAGAGACGGGGTTTCACCATGTTAGCCAGGATGGTCTCGATCCCCTGACCTCGTGATCTGCCCGTCTCGGCCTCCCAAAGTGCTGGGATTACAGGCTTGATTAAATATCTTAAATTATTTTAAAAGTCTTTGAAGAAGGGAAATCTTTCTTCAAAATGAAAAAGAATTGGAATTTGTTAGGTACTCTATTTTAGATGTTTGGATTATGGGCCATATAAGCCTAGAGAGGGGTTGTTTCTTGTCTGTCTGAACCTCAGGAGTTTTCCTTTCCTTCTCATTCTAGACCCATCCAAATGTGGATAAAAAACTTTTCACTGCAGAGTCTCTAATTGGCCTGAAGAATCCAGAGAAGTCATTTCCAGTCAACAGTGACGTAGGGGTGCTAAAGTGGAGACTACAAACCACAGAGGAATCTTTTATTCCACTGACAAGTAAGTGCCTCTGGCCAGTCCCACTAAGCTAGTTTGCATTGAGAACTGGAAATAGCCCTTGCTTGTACACTTTTATTTTTATTGCCATAGCAAAGTTCTTTTTGACAAAATGACTTTCTTTTGAAATGGACCTGGTGCTGCATTTTGTATATTTTTATCATTAGTTTTCATTTTTACTAGCTTTTATTTTGAAACCATTGTGGTTTTGTTGTTGTTATTGTTTTAGAGACAAGGTCGTCTTCTGTTGCCCAGGCTGGAGTACAGTGGGGCGATCATAGCTCACTGCAGCATCTAACTCCTGGACTCAAGCCATCCTCCTGCCTCAGCCTCTTGAGTAGCTGGGACTAGGACTACAGGCACATGCCACCACATCCAGCTAATTTTTTTTTAAAAGACACAGACTCCCTCTGTCTGTCACCCAGGCTGGAATGCAGTGGTGTGATCATGGCTCATTACAACTCCTGGGCTCAGCTGATCTTCCACCTCAGCCTCCTGAGTAGCTAGGAGAACAGGGAAGTGCCACCACCCCTGGCTTTTTTTTTTTTTTTTTGGAGAGGTAGAGTCTCACTTTGTTGCCTAGGCTGGTCTTGAACTCATGGCCTCAACCAATCCTCCCACCTCGATACTACCACCTTGGTTGTCTGAAGCGCCGGGATTACAGGCATGAGCCACCACACCCAGCCATCTTTTTCTAATATTCTAGTATGACTGCTTTGCTTTCTTCTCAGTTAATTGCTGGCCCTCGGAGAGTGGAAATGGCTGTGATGTCAACATAGAATATGAGCTACAAGAAGATAATTTAGAACTGAATGACGTGATTATCACCATCCCACTCCCGTAAGTGCTGTGCCCGTGTCCCCTATGTTGGACTTACAGAACTGGTCTTTTGGAACTCATTTTGGAGTCAGCACCTACCTGACCTGACGGTCCATTCAGAGATACTTGATTCTTAAAAAAGCTAGTTGTGAAAGAAGCCAGATACAAAAGGCTGCATGTTATGTGATTCCAGTTCTTTGACTTTCTGGAAAAGGTAATACTATTGAATAAAAATGAGGAGGTAGAGAAGAAGGTACTTCACTTCAGAGGGGCACAAGGGAACTTTTGGGAATGATAGGAATGTTCTAGGACTTGTGTTTGCTTTGGCAGCACAGGTACTAAAATTGGAACCAGAGAAGATTAGCATGGCCTGTGTGCAAGGCTGACATACAACTTTATGAAACATTTCATATTTATAAATAAGTAAAGCAAAGAAATTTTTTTTGAGAGTCTCTCTGTCACTGGAGGTCACTGGCACGATCTCAGCTTACTGCACCCTCCACCTTCCAGGCTCAGGCTATCCTCCTGCCTCACCCTCCCAAGTAGCTGGGACTGCAGGCGCATACCACCACGCTTGGCTAATTTTTGTATTATTTGTAGAGATAGGGTTTTGCTGTGTTGTGCAGGCTGATCTCAAAACTCCTGAGCTCAAGTGATCTGCCCACGTTGGCCTCCCAAATGCTAGGATTATAAGCGTGAGCCACCACACCCAGCCAAGAATTGTTCTGTGACTTGATTGTGGTGGTGCTTACTGCACACACTTGTTGAAATACATTGAGCACTTTGAATGGGTGGATTTTACTGACTTTAAAACCAAATTGAACAAACAAGCCAGTTGTAGATCCGGAGCTGTTTTTATTTTTTATTTTTATTGGAGACAGAGTTTTGCTCTTGTTGCCCAGGCTGGAGTGCAGTGGTGCCATCTCAGCTCGCTGCAACCACCACCACCTGGGTTCAAGTGATTCTTCTGCCTCAGCCTCCTGAGTAACTAGGATTGCAGGCATGTGCCACCCTGCCCAGATAATTTTTGTATTATTAGTAGAGACGGGGTTTCACCATGTTGGCCAGGCTGGTCTGAAACTCCTGACCTCAGGTGATCCACCAGCCTTGGCCTCCCAAAGTGCTGGGATTACGGGCGTGAGCCACCGTGCCTGGCTGTTTTTATTTTAATTTTTTTGAGACAGAGTCTCACTCTGTCGCCCAGGCTGCAGTGCAGTGGTGCAATCTTGGCTCACTGCAACCTCCACCTCCCAGGTTCAAGAGATTCTCATGCTTCAGCCTCCCAAGTAGCTGAGATTACGGGCATGTGCCACCACGCCCAGCTAATTTTATTTTATTTTATTTTATTTTTGAGATGGAGTCTCGCTCTGTTGCCGGCTGGAGTGCAGTGGCACGATCTCGGCTCACTGCAACCTCTGCCTCCTGGTTCAAGCAATTCCCCTGCCTTAGCCTCCCAAGTAGCTGGGACTACAGGCATGGGCCACCACACCCGGCTAATTTTTTTTGTATTTTAGTAGAGATGGGGTTTCACTATATTGGCCAGGATAGTCTCGATCTCCTGACCTTGTGATCCACCCGCCTCGGCCTCCCAATGTGCTGGGATTACAGGCATGAGCCACCACACCCAACCTAATTTTTGTATTTTTAATAGAGATGGGGTTTCACCATGTTGGCCAGGCTGGTCTCAAACTCCTGGCCTCAAAATGATCCACCTGCCTTGGCCTTCCAAAGTGCTGGGATTACAGGCTTGAGCCACTGCACCTGGCCTGGAGCCGGTTTTAGATGTTGGCCCTCAGCTTGTTTGTGTAGTAATGAAGGTTTCCAGAAGGAGGAGCCATTTCTCAGTCAAGCTTTCTGTTTTGCAACTTTCAAAGAAATTGAGTCTATCAGGCTGAATGTTTTATTTTCACGTGCTTTCTAAACTTTCACTAAAGATGAGAGTGTGTTCAAGGGAACTGTTGATTCTTGTTAAACAAGATGTCTATATTAGTTACAGTAAATTTCCTAACAGCCCTTTTGGAGCATAATTTATATACAACAAGCTACACATATTTTAATTGTGCAGTCTTGGCATGTTTACACCTGTGAAACCACCACCATAATCAAGATAACAAAAATGTCTTTCAACCCCAGAAGTTGAGTTCCAATAAGCTTTTGTTGTACACCCTAAGTGTCCCACTCTCTAGGATCATCTGGAAATGGTATCTACCTTATCTGTTTAGTAGCATTTCCAGTGAGCATGCAATTATTACTTCACCAGTAAATCCTAGCTCCTTTCACCTGCCCATCAGCCCTCATGATTAAGCACAGGGTCTAATTATGAGTACCAGTAAGTGTATCCTTAGTGTATCTTTACTGTTATATTGCTCAGTTATTGCTGCAGAGAAAATGGTACTAATTTAATTCATATTTTTCTTCCCTTTTTGATAATTCAGGCCTTTACATTATCAGGTCTGGTTTTAGTCATTCTTAGTTCCACTTTTTAAAACATGCTTTATTACTAGTATCCCCTTTAATGGGTAACCATCTTATCCTCTACAGTATGGTTATTGCTTCAGAACAGTAGATGGCTGCCTTGGACCGTTGTAGGACTTGGGCGTTGGTGACAGGTAGAGTTTTGTTTGTCAAGATTTCGTTTACTGGACTATTTATAGAATGCCACAATTTTGAGGCCTGTCTACCCTATAATTGTGGTTGTGGTGGTTTCCTGTATTCTAGTTCAGTTTTGCAATGGTCTCCAGAAGAGACCCTTATACAACATTTTACTCCCATTGTCTAGAACTGATCAAATTAGAAGAGATCAGAATCAGAATTAGAGCAAGTGCACAGAGAAAGAACATAAAAGAACCAGGACCCTGAAATTGATAGGGAAGAATTAATAGTCTTACGCCACTCGTAAAGTTTACTTTGTCTCCCTTATTTACCCTATCCCTGATATAAACATTGAGTGTCACTGGTGAATTAAAAGCCAGTAAATTTAGAATGTGTAGGAGTAGGTGACACTGCCTGTCAGCCGTGTGTAGGGGTGCAGAGTAAATCTTAACTAGCCCTGCTTCTCTTGCAGATTAAGGACAGCTATGTATCTGTTTCTCCCATCATGTTTCCATTTGCCCCAGGGGTAATTGTGCTTTCACTTATCAAATAAAAGTACATTTACTGGATTGTAAATCAAATAAACCCATTGGTGTCAACTTCAGTAAGTTTGAAACATTCTGAAATCTTTAAAAACAAATTATCAGCCAAGTGCAGTGGCTTATACCTATAATCCCAGCACTTTGGGAGGCCGAGGCAAGCAGATCACAAGGTCAAGAGATTGAGACCATCCTGGCCGACATGTTGAAACCCTGCCTCTACTAAAAATACAGAAATTAGCTGGGCATAGTGGTGCACACCCGTAGTCCTAGCAACTTGGGAGGCTGAGGCAGGAGAATCACTGGAACTGGGGAGGCAGAGGTTGCAATGAGCTGAGATTGCGCCACTGTACTCCAGCCTGGCGACAGAGCGAGACTCTGTCTCAAAAACAAAACAAAATAAATTCTCTCAGAGGCCTCCATTCATCTCCATTATTGATGTTTAGAGTTTCCCCCCAAATCAACCTGCTTGTTTCCCTATTGTCTCCTATAAAGAGTGCTACATTATGTTAAAATTCCTTATTTACAAGGCAGCAGGGTTTTTGGAAACATAGCCATCTTAACACATTTGTTGGTCGCAGTCCCCAGATCTAGTCCATAAATTGGAGCAGCCATAGACATATCTGCCAAATACCTATTTTTGCATATTAACTGTATCTACAGAGGGAATTGAGTGAAACTCTTAGCCAAGGCGCTAGGACTTCATTGTTTGATCCTTGAAGTTATTAGGGAGCCTTTTTTTTTTTATTTTCCTGAAATTGTAGTCCTAGAAGGCAGAATTTGAGGATCGTAATCAAATTTGGGGTTGGTTTTCCTTGGTAGAGTTCCAGCTCTGAACAGCTACCTTGACCAGAATGTTTCTTACAACAGGTCTGGTGTCGGCGCGCCTGTTATCGGTGAGATCGATGGGGAGTATCGACATGACAGTCGACGAAATACCCTAGAGTGGTGCCTGCCTGTGATTGATGCCAAAAATAAGAGTGGCAGCCTGGAGTTTAGCATTGCTGGGCAGCCTAATGACTTCTTCCCTGTTCAAGTTTCCTTTGTCTCCAAGAAAAATTACTGTAACATACAGGTACTCCATTTTAGTTGAGAACATGTATAGGGAAAGTGGTAGGACAGTACGAACATGTATAGGATGCCAGACAGGTAGCATGGCTTTTTGTAGTCAGATAAAGCTCAGAAAAAAGCTGATGTCTTCTACAGGAATTCCCTTTCTAATTCATTGTGTGATCGTGGTCAAATTCTTTATCACTTTACCTCAGTTTTCCTCTCTAGATCAGACAAAGTAAAGAAATTGAATATTAATACGTAAAAAAGTACTTGTGGATTGTGCAGGGTTCATAAACACTTAGTTGCCTATTTTTTTTAACCTTATATATTTTAAAATTGATTTACCAAAACACCCAACACATGGTTTTTTAAGGCCTTGCTGTCACTTGATTTATAACCAAAGAATGAAAGTTTTTTTATTTGGAAGACAAAATTCCTGCAAAAAAAAAAAAAAATTCATTCTATTACAAATGGAAATTATTTGGGGGTTATTTATGTCACAGCTCCCTTTATTAGTACAAATAATCATGAGCCAATTCTGTTGCAAACTCTGTCCTTTAGGTAGGCAAAGCAATGGAAATGTGTGAACTGTTCCTTCGGATTTTTTTTTTTTTTTTTTTTTTTTTTTTGAGATTGAGTTTTGCTCGTTACCCAGGCTGGAGTGCAGTGATGCGATCTTGGCTCACCGCAGTTTTGGTTTCTCCATGTTGGTCAGGCTGGTCTTGAACTTCTGACGTCAGGTGATCCACCCGCCTCAGTCTCCAAAACTGCTGGGATTATAGGCGTGAGCCACCGTGCCCAGCGGAATTTTTTTTTTTTTTTTTTTTTTTTAAGAGTTTCACTCTTGTTGCCCAGGCTGGAGTGCAATGGCATGATGTTGGCTCACTGCAACCTCTGCCTTCCAGGTTCAAGTGATTCTCCTGCCTCAGCCTCCTGAGTAGCTGGGACTACAGGCACGTGCCACCATGCCCAGCTAATTTTGTATTTTTAGTAGAGACAGGGTTTCACCATGTTGGCCAAGCTGGTCTCCAACTCCTGACCTCGTGATCCACCCACCTCGGCCTCCCAAAGTGCTGGGATTACAGGCGTGAGCCACCGTGCTCAGCCCGGAACGTTATTTTTTAACTCATCATTCTTCCAGTTTTTTTTGTTGTTGTTTTGAGATGGAGTCTCGCTGTGTCACCCAAGCTGGAGTGCAGTGCGATCTCAGCTCACTGCAGCCTCTGCCTCCCGGGTTCAAGTGATTCTCCTGCCTCAGCCTCCTAAGTAGCTGGGTCTACAGGTGCGCACTACCACACCCAGCTAATTTTTTGTGTGTATTTTTAGTAGAGATGGGGTTTCACCACGTTGACCAGGCTGGTCTCTAACTCCTGACGGCTTCCCAAAGTGCTGGGATTATAGGAGTGAGCCACCGCGCCTGACCATTCTTCCAATTTTTGAATTTGAGTTACTAGAACCTAGTTTATATTGTTAATATTCCCCTCTTTTTGACTTGCTTGTTGTTCTGCCCCTACCTTAGCTTCCCGTATGGTCTCCATCTCCCCTGTAAGTGCTTAGAAAGTTGCAGCTTCCTCCCTTGGATGATTCCAAAGAGCAGTTCTCTCTCCCTAACCAGTTAGTGACATAACCCCATCAGTGTTGGAAGCTACTGTATTGAACTCAAGACATTAGATAGAAATGGGTAAATTTTCCTGTTGGGGCTCTTCAAAGATTAGGACAGTGTAGTTGCTCTCCCAAAACCTCATTAGAAAGTATGAATCAGTGGTTCAAGTGTTGTGTTGGTGCCATTATAGGTACCTTTGCTACAGGTAATTAATTAAACTGGACATTTATTTATTTAAAAAGGAGAAACCTCATTGGAAGGACCCAGCCATGCCTAAAAAATAAGTATGATAGAGCAGCTTACAGGGACTTTTAACACGGGACTTTGAGAGCAGAACAAATGAATAATGTGAAGAGCTAGAACATTGCGTTTTGGGTCAGAATGTTAATATATCATCCTGATAGAATGTCCATGAATTTCATAGGTTATATAGGGCAGGGCTGGGCTATGGCCACTCATTTTGGAGCTTTTACTTAATACTACTGTACATCTCATCCCAACAGTTGTCTTTTCTCTCTCTAGAAGGAAAGCAGCTTAATCATGTTGGTGGGGAAGAGTGATGCTGTGACTTTCGGTTATGAATTGAACATTTTTCTAGTATTTTACAGTTACTTTTTTTTTTTTTTTTTTTTTTTTGAGACGGAGTCTCGCTCTGTCACCCAGGCTGGAGTGCAGTGGCCAGATCTCAGCTCACTGCAAGCTCCGCCTCCCGGGTTTATGCCATTCTCCTGCCTCAGCCTCCGGAGTAGCTGGGACTACAGGCGCCCGCCACCTCGCCCGGCTAGTTTTTTGTATTTTTTAGTAGAGACGAGGTTTCACCGGGTTAGCCAGGATGGTCTCGATCTCCTGACCTTGTGATCCGCCCGTCTCGGCCTCCCAAAGTGCTGGGATTACAGGCTTGAGCCACCGCGCCCGGCCTACAGTTACTTTTAATACCACTTTTAGGGAAATTGATATGTTCTGTAGTGAGAATGTAGTCAACATCATGGAGACTCAAACCTCCTGCTTTACCTTACTCTTTGTTTATTTTCCTAGGTTACCAAAGTGACCCAGGTAGATGGAAACAGCCCTGTCAGGTTTTCCACAGAGACCACTTTCCTAGTGGATAAGTATGAAATCCTGTAATACCAAGAAGAGGGAGCTGAAAAGGAAAATTTTCAGATTAATAAAGAAGACGCCAACGATGGCTGACGAGTTTTTCCCAAATTTACAAGCCATTGGAGACCCCTTTTTTCTGATACAATGCACGATTCTCTGCGCGCAAGGACCCTCGACTCACCCCCATGTTTCAGTGTCACGGAGACATTCTTTGATAAAGAAATGGCACAAACATAAAGGGAAAGGCTGCTAATTTTCTTTGGCAGATTTTATTGGCCAGCAGGAAAGCGAACTCTCCAGAGAATGCCCCCAGTTAAATACCTCCTCTTCCTTTACCTAAGTTGCTCCTTTATTTTTATTTTATTATTATTTTTGGGTTTTTTTTTTTGAGACGGAGTCTTGCTCTGTCACCCAGGCTGGAATGAAATGGCATGATCTTGGCTCACTGCAGCCTCTGACTCCTGGGTTCAAGCAGGTCTCCTGCCTCAGCCTCCCGAGTAGCTGGGACTATAGGTGCACACCACCACCCCTGGCTAATTTTTTGTATTTTAGTAAAGATGGGGTTTCACCATGTTGCCCAGGCTGGTCGTGAACTCCTGAGCTCAGGAAGTCCACCCAACTCGGCCTCCCAAAGTGCTGGGATTACAGGCATGAGCCACTGCACCTGGCTGCTCCTTTATTTTAATCCCTAAATATATAATCCCTAAATATAGTTATATTTCATACTTTGTTTTTAAAAAGTTTTCTCTGTAGAAGATTTTAATCTTTCATACCCTTTACCTTTAGGTTTTTCTTTCTATACATTCAGTCAGGCACTGGGATCATCTGTTTACAGGCATTGTATTTATTTGGCACTCCTGCAACAAGTATATCTAACCCATTCTTGATTTTTGGACTATTCAGGGGAACTGTTTGAGGGGTGTGGGGTCTAGAAGTTAAAAGATAAGGATGTCTTCTGTCCTTTTCCCATATCCATTCATTCCTTCATCTCTTTGCCAAGTTGTTTTCCTTTCAGGGCCTGTCCTTCCAGTTTAGAACAGTACCGTGAATCCCACTTGTGTCAATATTAAAGATAGCTGAGATGTACCTTTCAAATGGCACAGTCCCTCTTCAAGATGTCTAAAAGAATGGTTATGTCTGTCCAGTTAGGGATTTCACATCCACATGTAATCATGTCTGCTGCTATTGCTACCCAAATTTCCAGTTCTCCACATTTTGGGTACTTAAGCTAAAACGTAATAGCCTCAGTCTTTGTAATCCATTCACATTCCTCAATTTCACCACCTCCCACTTCTAGACTGCACTCTCCGTCATCAGTCCTCTCCTTTCGAACAGAAACAGGGTTATGATTTTGAAGGCTGTGGGTTCAGGGAGTCTTTGTGCCAATCCTGTTGGCCCTAAACTGTCAAGGAGGCTTCATTTCACCATTCGATTTTTTGCATTTTAGGAGGCAACTGATTGTTTTGGTATGTACAGATTACTCATGTATACCCCATTTCCTTCCAGTCAGCCCAACATTTTCCACCAGTCTATCTGTCCCCGTCTCTGAAATCCATCCTTCTCTTCCCTCTAAACCTTTTGAGTATCATCATGTACTGGTGGTTTCTCGGTTCCATCTCATCCATTTTGTTTTCAATGGAGACTACAGTGTCAGCCAGCTCAGCCTTGGCTTTTAACTCAGTATTCCAGTCCATAGGGTGGTGAAAAGTTGCTACAAGGCTGCAGGCACTGGCAGTGGGAAGAGGCAGATGACTAGATGGACTTCTGTGCTTTTAGCTGGTTGACAAGTACCACTCCCACTCTGAACAACATCTGGCCTTCCCTGCAAAGAGTGTACTGTACTTGAAGCAGAGCACTCGCACATAAATGGCTGTGTATGGAATTGCTTGCCAAAGAAGTTTCTAGCCTTTCCCTTTCCCCTAACTGCATCAGGGAAGAATTCTTATCTCTAGCTTAGTTTCCACATGAGGTTTTTCTGAGAAAGGGGCCTGGGACAAGAAGTCTGTCATGTAGTTAAGTAGGCAAGAAATCCTACTAATCCAGTTTTGTTTGAAAGTTGTTTGTCCATATGATTTTTTAAAAGTCAAGTTTAATTTCAAAAAACCTTTTTTTTCTGAGATTACTTTTGGGGTAATATTTAAAATGAGAGACATTTTGTAACCCTGTAAAATACATAGGGAATATAACATTCCAGTGTATACAAAGAAGGCAAGTTCTTTAATCAAATAAAGAGCATTATAAAATGAGATGTTTATTGGATTCTTGACTCACTTTGGTGTCTGCTTGTTGATTCAGGATGCTGTAATGGGACCTAAGATTAAAAATTAATGACATGTTTTTTTTAAGAGAAAATAATCTCTGAGAGTATTCATTGCCTTTTCTCCATATTATATGTATTGTGCTTCCTTGTGTATTTTTCTACATTTGATACATGCACTCCTGACAGTGTAGCTTTTGAATCTGATGCTACTTCTGGCCGTTTGGGGGATTGGAGTCTTAATTTTGTCAGATGGCAGTTGGAGAGTCAGAAAAGTCAGGCTTCATCTTTAATCCTGGAGTCTTCTCTTCCCCATTAGACCGTGATGAGAAGTGTTCCAGGGATGAGGGATAATGGGAACAATTTTTGGGAACTGTTGATAATTCCCTTGGGTAAAGCCACTTACTTTTTTTTTGTTTTGTTTGTTTGTTTGTTTTTGGGGTTTTTTTTGGTTTTTTTTGAGACAGTCTCGCTCAGCTGCCCAGTCTGGAGTGCAGTGGCGCGATCTCGGCTCACTGCAACCACCACCATCGCCCAGCTTCAAGCGATTCTCCTGCGTCAGCCTCCCAAGTAGCTGGGATTACAGGCAACCGCCATCATGCCCGGCTAATTTTTTTTGTATTTTAGTAGAGACAGGGTTTCACCATGTTGGCCAGGCTGGTCTTGAACTCCTGACCTTGTGATCTCCCCGCCTCGGCCTCCCAAAGTGCTGGGATTACAGGCGTGAGCCACCGCACCTGGCCAGAGCTGCTTACTTTCTTATGCTTTTTTAAAATTTAACTTGGAAAAACTATTGAGTGTCAAAACATTGGAAGGCAAATTATTCTCACTTATTAATAAGTATCTGGGATGAGAAATTTTTAATTTAACGTTGAAAGCTAAGATTCTGATTTTTCCTTGGTGAAAAAGTATCTGGTCTAATGTTGCTCAAGTGTGGCTTAGCTGTCTGAGTGAGACTGTAGCCTTACTCGAATGAAACGATTAAGGTCTGTCATTCCTTTACTCACTGTAGCTTCAAATTTGTCAACCCATGCATCTCTGATGGGAAACTTTGCCCTCCAATTAATTTTTAAATTGTGAACAGTTTTAAAGTTGTTCACACTGTAGGTAGGGTCTGAGATTTACAGGGTTGCTATAGAATAGCTTTTTATTAAACTTCACATCTGGCAGGGCTTATTGGAAGGAGACGGGAGAAAAATGGAAAAAGTCATCCTCAAGAAGATTAAAGTCTAACTAGAAGCAATGACTATCCTTGCTTGCAAAGCCTTTTTTTTTTTTTTTCAAGTTAGACAAGTGTTAACTACAGCTAGTACTAAACATGGATCTATATGAGAGTAGCGAATATGGCTTCTGTCTTGTAGGCTTTAGAGAAATCACAAGCAAAATCTCACAAATGATTTTCTTTTGCTATGCACATCTCTTATTACAACCCCCTCACCCCAAATTCCCTCGTCTTAGAAGTTCCACAAGTAGGTTTGTTGCTGTGCATTGCTGTTACCCAAGGGCAGACAGCAACACTACAAACGTCTTAACGTCTTATCCTGGGGAGTTGGTGATTGATACGGAGGTAGGCCTTTAGGAAAATTAGACTATCTTTCCAAACCAGGCTGTTTTCCCTCACAATCACAAGTCAAGCTATTAGAGTTTTCAGAAGCTTGGGCCACTTCTCCCACCCCCCACCAAAGTTATTTGACCTGCTGTTCTTAGGGAAGGGGCTAAGTGGTTATTTAGGGTCTAAACCAATTCTGGAAAGCTGCCCTAGGTGTACTCTGTGATCAGATTGATTACCAAACCAGGACAGGGGCTGTTTGAAAGAAGTATTAGAAATTCAAGACAATGAGAGAAATCAAAATAGGTCTTGTTTCCCATTCTTTTGCCCAAATGAATGCTTGTTCTTTTCAGCTCATTAGGAAAGCCCTTAGCCTTGGAGGTACACAAGACCAGTTTTCTGTCCTCCCCAAATTTCCCACTCAGCTTGAATGCGTGTTAGCTTTGGGTAGAAGCAGACTGCAATTTCTAAGACAAGCTGAAAAGACAGCTTTGAGCTTTTCCCCAAGTTGTTGCAGGGTCATTGCTACCACCATGCCTACACCAATGATGGTGACTTCAGGATCCAGAGGCCAGAAAGGGATAGCTTTCTGGAAGAGGGTGTGTATCTACAAGGATTGCATGCTGTATGAGCAATAATCACCTCTCTGGGGCTAGAGGGAGTACAATTTGAGAGGTGGGACAAAGTGGGGAATGTGCCAAGGCAAAAGCAGGAGTATGGAAATCCACTCCTGACATTCATAGCCAATGCAGAGGGCCTTAGAAAAATCCACCCTTCCTTCCACACCCAGGCTTTGCCCTCTCCCCCTGCTTCCACTTCGGAAAGTCTGAAGCAAGCCTGGAAAGCTGTTTTCTGCTTTATTTCCCTCTCCTCCTCCTCCTTTCCTGAGCTCCCAGCTGCTCGACCTCTTGCGTAACTATGAGAGAGCACTGAGTTTTTTGATGGGCTCCAGATGTGGAGCGGGGCGGGGATGAAGAGTGGGGGCGGTAGGTCTTTAGTCCCCTGAGTGCTCTAACTGTGGGAACATAGAGGCCTGACACAGCAGGAGAGAGGACACATTGCACAGCGCCTTTATCATGGGGTCAGCTGGTCCCTGTGTTGGGAGGACAGTGAGAGAAGTTGGGTGCTGTTTCGACCCTCTGCCTCAGCATCTGCTGCCTCCATGGCAGGCTTGATTATTCCCTGAAACTCCTCCTGCCCAGTACAGTAAAGAGGAGCTGGGGGTGGTGAAACAGAATGAAGTGAAAAGCCTCTGAGGTACCGCAGTCTGGACCCCTCCCCTCAGTGCTGGGTCTTGGCACATGGGATACAACAGTTTGGGTTTTTTCTTTCTTCGTTTTTTTACATACCCGAATGGGCTATTACCTTTGTGATCTGCCTCATGAAGGTTCACCACAATTACTTTCATGACTTCAAACAATATGAAGAAAGGAAAAATTAAGAGTCTCGCTCCTCACATCCTAGGACTTCCTGGTACCCACAGCATATTCTGGAGCTTGAGTGTTCCACCTCCATTAGCTATAGCAGGTGGCAGCAAAGGGAGGCCTCTCCCCTCCCCCTCCTTGTCTGCTGCTTGGCCCCGGTCAGCTTCAGTCTCCA